TGTTGCCCTCAACACTTTGCTCCTGCTTTGCTCGAATCGCGCACAAAAGTGGTCCCAAATGGGATATGAAAATGGCTGCTGACACTACAAAATTGAGAAGCATTGGGGACAAAAATAGGGCACGACTATCTTAATTTGTCTTAGAAAATATTATTTTAAGTAATAACGGGGACAGTTATATAATACGGTCCCCTTAAAATACATAATTGATATTTAATTAAATTTAGAGCTTTTTAGGGATCGTTTGCTTCAAGGATATCGTACATGGATTTGGTACCAAAAAACCAACTATCAAGGATTTAGGTACAATACGTTGTTTGCTTGCACTTTTTTTGGAGACCAAATCCGTGGGGCCCACAGATTTTAAGGGTCCAAATCCGTGGACCCCACGGACTTATAAATCCCACATGTTTATGTGGGATTTGGAATATGGCATAAATCCTTGATGAGATATTACCCATATACCCTCATGCACTTTTAATATTCCAAGGTTGCCCTCAAATTTAACTATTATACATTATAATTAACAATAAATGAATAATATAAACGTTCAATTAACGTGCAAACATTAGTTAGATTTTTTATATCATTTCTTGTGTTCTAGTTTTCTTTGACCTTTTCATGGAACGTGTAAGTCTTTGTTCTCCCGATTCTAATATATGTTGTTATGTGTTACTTTTGAAAAGGAGGACAAAGAATTGGTAATTGATTATGTTACGTTACAAGTTAAAACAGAATTTTCTCGTTTATTATTATTGTCCATGTGGCAACATTATGCTTATTAGTATGTATTGTCCTTGTTTTGTGTACATATCATAAACAAGTCAAACATATAGAAAATGATAGTAAGGTAATTTTGAAGTTTTGTCCTTGTTTTGTGTACATATCATAAACATGGCAAACATATAGAAAAGGACAGTAATGTAATTTTTGACTTCAAGTTGTAAATCTCACACCTTTAAATCCATGATAAAAACATCCCAACAAACAAAGGATTGTTACAAATCCATGATGCCTCAAATCCTTGATAAATCCTTGGGTTTTTAAATTATAAAACCCTCATTTTGAAATCCATGAAGCAAACGACCCCTTAGTTGTCGCCAAAAAGAAGTTTGGGGGAAGTAAAAGATTACGGTGGATTCTCCATCATAAAAAATGATAAAGGATTGATTATAAACAAATGATAAAGGATTACAGTAGGATATTTCTATTGTTATTTGAAGATTTTTTTATTAATGGCTACATGGATGGACGCGCAAGTTAATTGGGGCAGGAATTTCCCCCCAAAGAATAAAAGATTGCACCCTTTTTTTCACAGAAAAAATGAAATTGGCGCACAAGTTCATTGAAGTTACAAAATTGATCAACGTGGTCTTACAAATTGTTAAACGTAGTTTTAAAATATCAAAGTTGTCATCTTACTGTTTCATCTTGTCTTTTCTTTCACAAGTCACACAAGAGTTAAAAATTATTTTACCGTAATGTAGAATGTGTTGTAGTTGTGATTGCGCCCATAATCATAGTTAGTAAAACAAGGTATGGGAATGTTATGTATAAAATATGTACGGATATTTTACTTCGTTTCTAATCTAATGTTATGTTTAACAGTACGTTAATAGTCATAAATATACAATATTAATGATTTTAATTGAAAAATAATATAAATATATAAATAATATTAAAATTAACAATTTAATTCATTAAGTACGCATATTAAACGTGTTATACAGGTTTTATACGTCTTCAATATGAGAGACATCAAATGAACGGGGGAAAATGAAACGGCTTGACAATAATACGGATACAGAAGTTTTAAACGGATAAAATACGTACGGGTACATATACGTGTATTAAACGGAGTATTTACTAACTATGCCCAAAATAACCATCCAGGAAAAATGTACCTGAACCGAGGAATACAACTCTTACCTTAGACAAGTTTATACCAGCCTACTTCAAAATCACGAGAACGAAAATTTATTAGGGATTTGAGATATTATGGATTTGAAACCATTCTTTGTTTGTTCAATTGGTTATAGATTTCAGAGTTTGAGATTTATAACTTAAGAAACTAATTTACCTTATTACTCTTTTATATTATACTAGTTAATTCATCAATGCTTTGCGCGCACCGAGATATTTAGAAGAAATATATAATTCATTATAAGAATTTTACATAAATTAACATGGTATAATGTATTAGTAATGAAAATAGACATACATTTGTCTAACTAACTTAGTAATTAATCACTTAATAACTATAGCTTGACGTCTCTTTAAACAATAATTATTATGTTTAGGAGAGTGATGCAAGAAAAGATGTCGAGATTGAACTCGCATCATCATCACGACACTCCATATTACAACTCTTTCAAATTAGATACTATATTTTGAAATTACATTTTTTACCTCCACATATTTGTCTCCAAATTTATTTGGCCAAACAAACAAATAATTGTTACCAAATCCTTGATGGTTAGATTTTTTATACAAATTCTTAATACAAATTCATGAAGCAAACGAACTCTAAGTATTAACGAATCTATGGTTCTCCACTTTTTAAACGTCATCCTTAATAATTATTCTCTAATTTGATAGGCTTTGGGCAGCGCCAGGCAGGGTTAACGAAATTTTTATGGTTTGGCGGCTTGGCTTAGCCAACATTTTTTAGTTTCGGCGGCGGGCAAACCAAATTTTGGGGTAAAGAGTTTTGAATTTTATCAAAAAAAAAAAAAGGAAATAATGGCATTTAGGTTTTGGGTTTTCCTTTACAGAGATAGCCTAGAGCCCTAGACACACAAACCCTCCTCTCCACAAAATTTTCTTCCCGGAAAGGATTTTTCCTCCGTGATCAAGTAAGCAATTTCACTCGCTCTCAATTACGGTCAGCTTTTTTCTTCTTCTTTGGTATACAAGATGCCACGGAGTTACCTCACAGCCTACTGCCCTCCTTCCGTTCCTGCCGTTTTCTTCAGAAAGATTCCTTAACAAAATCCCAGAGCCTTCGATTGTTTGAAGCGGCGCAAACAATCGCTCTCAATTACGGTTGAGCTCTTTATATTTTTCACAACAAGAAGAAAGAAATCAATTGAATCCCTTAATTCTTCTCTATATTTTCACAAAGGTAAGTTGAACCTTATTAGCTCTCTCTATTCCAAAGTGAAAAGCAAAAATGATTCAATATAGAGAAACCCTAATTAACCCCTGCTAACTAACAACTTACCCGTATTCTAGAAATAATTAACCCTAATTCTAATTGAATTAGGAATTTCAAGCGGTGAACGAAAGGAGGCACCAGAGAGTATGAGAAAGAGATCACCCCAATAATTCAATACACAGTATTTTATTTTTTAATTGTATAAAGTTGTGTCTCTTGTATTTTTAATATTACTGTATTTTTTTATTCTGATCCAATTAATGTTGCTTAGAAGATTAACTTTTGAATTTTATTATATTTCAGGAGATAAGAGAAGATGCGGGTTGGTGAAATTGAGTTGTGGTATTGCGAAGATATATTATAGTACGTTTATAATAGGAGATAACAGCTAGCACACTTTATAGATTTTTCTAACTCGTCTTTTAGTTGATACTATTTATTGTTTTGCTAAGGATGTTTAGTCTATCAAATGTTGAATCTTGGTATTCTTATTATGGGATTGTGATGATATTATACTAAATTTGCTTCAATTTATTTATGATGATGATTCAATGACACATTTTCTATATTGAGAAATGTCCTTAGATTGTTCCAATGGTTCACTTGGAGTTTACAAGGTAACCCTTCGTTGATTGTCTCCCAGAACTTCCATAGGTAACAATTTGTTGTTCCTTACGATATTGATTAAGGGGCATATGATCGTCCCTACAATTTAATAAGTGACAATTAGATGTCCCCGGAAATACAGGGTAAAGGACAATTGGTCGTCCCCACAAGTGATACAGTCATATCGATGACAATTAGTCATCTCAAAAGACACATGCTAAAGGACAACAAGTCGTTCATACGAGTTACGTAGGAGATAATTAGTCGTTCCCAGAAGGTGCATTAGTCACAATTCCTTGTCCCCCAAAACACAAGTTAAGGGACAATTGTTTGTCCCTAAAAGTCATAAGCGACAACTTGTCGTCTCTAAAGATATAGAATAAGAGACCACTCATAGTCTTTGAATAAAGCTTATGGGAACGATTTTTGGACTCCAATTTGATACCTATGGGAACGACATGTCAACCCTATAAAAATAAAAGGGGACGATATTTTATCCCCATATTGTCCCAACGCAATTATGAAATCGATTATGTGGGACAACATGTTGTCCCTAGAAATGATGTTTAGGGGACGACTTATTGTCGCTAAAGTTATAGCTATGGGGACGACATTTTGTCTTTCATGGACAAGAAACGAGACGACGACTTGCGAGTATCGGGGATGACTGTCGTCCCTAGTAATGGGGACGATCTAGATTTTTGTCGTCCCCAAAAGAATAGAGGACAAGAGTATAGGGAACCACTCTTTGGGGACGACTAAGTCGTCCCCAAAAACTATAGGGACGATTTTTCCTATTTCCAGGGACGACTTTTGTCGTCCCCAAACCTCCTCTTTTTTGTAGTGTGATACTCACAATTTTGAAGAACAATATCAGTGTTCTTCATGCTTGAGGTTGGGTCATCCCTTTCCAGGGAAGTAGAGCTCAATTCACCCCCACCATTAGCTTCGTTAGGCTTGGAATTAGGATCCTGGGCCGGTTGCAAGCTTTAATTCGTCATTACCTTCGCCGAAACGAGGATTCCTTCTTTCCCGCCATAACCAAAATTCAAATTCTAGAATCCCAGATTGCTTGGCCTTGAATTGGGCGTTTTTGATTCGATCATTCCCCCCTCCAATTGGTCACTCCCATAGCTTCCTGGGTTCATTCCCATCAGTTATGCATTCGCCACTGGCGATGACTCGCCCTCGAATGACCCAACCAATAGAGCCGATTTGTGACCGTGTTTGTCCGTTTTCAGAGCATTTTTGGCTCGAATCGGATCCAACAATGGAGGTGTAGCCGACCCATTCTGATTCGGGGGAAAGCTTTCTGAGGTCTCGTGGAATGTTCTGCCGCCAACGGCGAGACTCGACTCCTGTCCGCACTCTCCGGCGGATTCACCCTCTCTCCTGCTCTGCTCCGGCGACGAGGAGCCTTCTGCCTCTTGTAACCGGTGAGCATGAATTGTCGAGCCACGAAATTGACGTCGTGAGGTTCTTTAGCTCGAGTTCCACCAATTTCCTCCCTTTTTCGCCGTCGACTGGCCTCTAATGGCCGTTGATCCTCTCGCACTTTGGTCGGCGACAATGGTTTCAGCAAAAAGGTCCGACCCTGGTGCTTGAAATTGTAGCAATTTGTATCCCCGTAGTGGCATACCCCACGATCAAACTGCCAGGGATGTCCAAGTAGCAGATGAGCGGCTTGCATCGGCGCCACATCGAATTGAAGCTCATCCTCGTAGTTACCTATTGCGAACTTGATTCATGCCTGTTTTGTTAACCTTAATGGCGTCGTAGTCATTCAACCAGCGCAAGTTATAAGGCTGTGGATGCTTGCTGGTGTGCAGACCAGGCTTCTTGACTACCTCAGAGCTTACCACATTCGTACAACTTCCCCCGTCGATGACGATGGAGAGTGGTTCGCCATTGACAATTCTGCGAGTATGGAACAAGTTATCCCTCTGCTCAGAATCCACAAGCGTTCTGATGGTGAGAGCCCTCCGATTTACTCCTATTAGTTTTCCAAGAGGTGGAGGTGTTTCCATCTCAAGCTCTTCGTCTACTTCCTCATCATCGGAGGGTTGTTTTTCTTCGTCAGAGACATATTACCCATCTCTGATCACCAAGGTCTTTAAATTTGGGCACTGGTTTGCTTTACGGCCCCTTCCATGGCATTTGAAGCACTGAATTCCTCCCAAACGCTCATAAGGGCTAGAATTAGTGTTCCTGGGCGCTGTTTTGGATGGGTCAAGTAGTGTTGGCGACAATTGGGGCTCAGGGATTGCCTCTGCGGCCAGTTTCGCTACCGGAGTGAACTTCCGACCAACCATCATCTTCTGCTGCTTCTCTACTTTGATGGTGAGGTGGAATACCTCTTCCAGGGTGAAAAGGACCTCAATTCTGCTTCTTGCCGAATTTCACGATTCAGACCATGAAGAAAGCGGGCGAATGTCGCCTCTCTATCCTCCCTGATGTCGGCCCGCATCAGAAGTAGCTCGAGTTCTTGAAAATAGTCTCCCACGCGCCATCCTCCCTATCGAACTTCTTGTAGAGCTTCATGGAGCTCTCATCGATAATAACCAGGGACGAAACAATCCCGCATCTCCCTCCGCAGCTCTTCCCAGTCTGTAATTTCCGGTTGCAAATTTTTTCGTCGTCGAAGGCGAACCTGTTCCCACCACTGAGCAGCGTAGTTGATGAATTCGTAAGTAGCCAGACTTACCTTCTACTGCTCCGTGTAATGGCCGCATTAAAAACAAGGCAAATTTTCGTTCCCAATCCAAATATGCCATCGCGTTCATAGTTCCCTGAAACGCGGGTATCGTTAGCTTAATCCCAGGTGGGATTATAGGATCATTGTCTCGATTCTCTCGATGATGACCATCACGGTTGGGTTCACCCACCACCAATCGTCATTCCAGCTCCTCAATGCGCTCTACTAACGCCGGATTGCTGTGGGGATTTTCATCGTCATGAGCATCCCGTTCCCGATCTCTGTTTTCCGGCCGAACAATGGCGTCAATCCTCTGATTAATTTCCTCACAAAATTGATTTAGGCTCGTATCAAATCGGCCCATCAACTCCTCTATGTCAACGGGTTGTCCTGCCATCGGGAACTCCTCCGCTGCAACTTCGCCTTCAAGCTCTGCTTCTTCCTCTGAATTTCGGCTCACCGCTTCAGAGTCGTCGGAGACGGAACCCTTTGATCTTGTCTAACGCGTCATTCCCACAACGAGTCTCTTCGTCCTGCCCACTATGTATGAACCGAGCTCTGATTACCACTTATACGACCCTGTAAGGGTGATGTTGATTCAAAAGTCGCACAACGAGAACGAAAGACGAATTCAACTCCAAATCGAGACGCAAACATGGTATCTCTGAATTGAAAGGCGGTATAGCTCTCTCGTGCAATCATACACTCAAGACGAAAGCTCGACGAGAATCAAAACGAGGCTGGCCACGATCAAGGATGGATGACTTGATTGATACAGCAACGAGAGCTTAGAACTCGTTCTATCGACTCTCAATCACAAGCAACAGCTCGTGAACCAAACTTGAAGTTTGTAATTCTATTGACGTCAAAAACTAACTATTACAATGAATCAATTTGACTTAAATAGAGCTAGGAAACTCCAAACAACGATTAACGAAGACAATTACAACTCTACTATGAAAATGAATAAAAAAACCAACACGAAAACAAGCTTAACTCAATCAGCACCCTAATTCTAATCCAAGAAGGATTCGGATTCTATTGCTTGCAAGACAGTTTCTCCTAGGCTTCAAATGATCTTGCACCCTTTCGTTCAAAGCCCTCCATGGTCCAATTTGATCAGCCAATCCCTTATATTTGAAGTAGAAAACCTGTAGATTGATGTGGTATAAAGATCGGAACTCGATCATCACCCATCCTCCTCGAATCAAGTCCCCAAGTCGGCTTCTCAAACACGCTCCAACACTTAGTCATTTTCTGGAAGAAATCCAGTTTCATCATAGCGATTTGAGAGGCTCTAAACTTGACCCTCCTGGCTTGACCTCGAACGCCCGAGCTTACCAGATTGTAGAGCAACATTCCATCTCTCAAACAAACCTTCGAAACCCAATTTTCATTGATCCAGAAGTGACGACCAAGCTTGCCAACCGGGTTACCTGTACTCATCAAAACACTTAGGCACAATTTCCAGAATTGGTTAGAACTTAAAATGGCCTCTTGATCGTACACTTCTAACTTGAATATGGACCCGATTGGGATCATATCATCCACCATGGTTCTTTCTCTCTTCTTTGTTGTTCTCTCTTGCCTAACCATGAAATAGTGTTCTCTTCACTTGGATATTGTGAACCTAGCCTTTTGTAGGTGATAGATTGTATTAATTTAATGCTTTGTATGTGGGTTTGTGTTTAATGCAAAGTTTGAGGTATTTTTATGATGTTTAGGTTGTGTTCTTCGTTTCTCATTAATATGCCAATTTGACTTAGGTAGAGGGAAACCCCCATTTTGTTAGGACGCTTTACTAAGATGGATTTCTTGTCCAATTGAGCCACCTACCTACGGCGAATTAGGGCAAACATCAAACTTTGCTTTACCACCTTGATTGGTTGTTATTTTGCCATCCGGATTAGGTACCGAGGTATTGGTTCTTGCAACCCTTAGTTGATCGGTTAAGAGAGCTAGGAAACCTATTTTATTGTTGCAATCCTTAGCCAAAAGGTTAAGAGAGCTAAACTTCCTAGTTTATTGTGGCAATCCTTAATCTATTGATTGAGAGAGTTAGGGTTCATAGATTAATTATTTTCCTTAATCGATTGATTAAAAGAGTGAGGTTTCCTTCATTTGTTGCGCCCTCCTATGGTGTATGAACACAACTTCACACATTTGCATTAGATTTGGTCGATCTTGATATATAGCTAGGGGGGAGCAACACCCAGGTGAATTCTTCTCTCATTGGGACAACCTTGATTTACTTTTCTTGTTTGTTTATTTTTTAGTTTTCTTAGTTTTTAAAACCTAAACCGTTTGATAGATAACGCTTAAGCGATTGAAGTAGGGGTACATGGCCCGGCCCGGGTTTGACAATTAAAACACACTTGCCCTATACTGCACCCAACTAGAGTTTATACTTGGGCTCTAGTCGGGATTTAATTAGCGGTGTAATCTGTGGCGAGTCAGCTTTTAATATTTTACTTGAAACTTTTATGTTCATGTTTTACGATTGAAGTTTTTCTGGTCTCTAAAGATTAATGTTTTAGAGGTATTTCGCCACTAAATAAATTAGAGTGAAAAGGATAAGAGGTAGTTCACTAACACCAGTTCCCCGCCCTAGTGAAAGTTAAAAGGAAGAGCACATAATACTCAAGGATCATGAGGATGAATCAATAAGACTCTCATGAAGTTAAAAGGTTAAGGATTATGGGGATGAATCAATAAGACTCCCACAAAGGTTAAAGGTTAGGCCTACGTTGGCCCTCATATGTATGAGTTGGACGGTTGGACTATTTAGTGAAGAGATCCCAGTGTCTGTCTAATGTTTAAGATTTTGAGGGTGGCTAGTAATGATAGGATTAAAATTTTTCAAGTCAAAGCACACTTTAGTCTATCCTAACAAAACCGAGTATAAATAAGCTAGGGATGTAGTATGGTAGCTCGGTCGTATTTCAAGGGAACCTTAGTCTTACACTCTTACTATTACTTTGCTCCGAACTACTATCTAATCAACTCAGAAGGTTGGGTGACACGCAAAAACACAACACCAAACTGCGAACAAGTGCAATCGCAGTCCGGAAATGCAGTATCAGGCAAGCTCTATTTGTCAACCCGGGGTCTAGATCTACTGCCTACTCCGTGAATATCTATTATCTAGCAAACTAAGTCGAGTGATTGTGATTTTTAAATAATAGTAGTAAGAAAGCAGGAAATGGTTCGGTTTTCTAAAGCAAGGGAAGAGTCACTCGGGAATGAGTCCCCCTAGCTCCTTAGTTAGGTCTCAGTTGTAATTACCCTGGGATGATTAACTGTTGATTAAACTGCGGAAGATCCCACAGTAGCTTGGAATCTCTTAAGTTGACCAAGCCCTCTCAGTCCAACTACCCGGCAGACGACTAGTCTTCACCGGGATAGAAAGCTGGGGCTATGAACGCAGAAATCCACTACTGGAATTGGATTCCAGTACAAAGCAGTAAATCGATTAACTCTCGTATAATCAATCTACCACTACCGATTGATGACGCTCTAACAACCTAATCAGATTCTATCTATCTCAGGTTGCAGCAGAAATCAAGAAAAGATTATCAGACTTCAATTGACTCAATGAATCATGCATCAATCGATTATAATCAAACAGTATAACAATCCCAAGTCATTACAATCAAGATCCCTAACACATGGAACTAGGGTTCCTCATACCCAAGTGAGAGAAAGTTCTACTCCATAGAGAGAGAGAGGAAAACAGTAATCAGAGTAGTCATACTCATAAAGATGAGGATAATCTGCTCCGGGATGATGAGCTTCACTCCTGGGGATGCAATCTGGGCTTCAATGGTGAGAAATCCTCTCAAAATAGCTCCTAGGGTTTGTTCTGCGCACTTTTCTCTCTCTAAAACTCTGTTTTTGCTCCAAAAATTCGATTCTCTCTCCTTTGGCTCGAATCTGCCTCAAAAACCCGATTCTGGGCGAAATACGGGCTAAATTACGGTCGTAAACAAGGTCTG